GCCTAACAACTGAGCCACCCAGGTGCCCCGAGGGAGAGAATCTTAAGCAGACTCCCCTCTGAGCGCAGAGTCCACCACCAGGCTCAATCTCACCACCCTGAGATCATGACCGGAGCCAAAAACAAGAGTTGGATGTTTGAGCCACCCAGGCGCCTCTGTCTGACCCCCTTTTAAATTAGGGATAAAACTAATTTTTAAGATGTTTGCAGTTAGCAGACTGGCAAGTACAAGGTCACACTGTACATAATGGCAGCATAAGAACTATGTGGCTAGGTGTGCACACTATTCCATTATTAAGCTATGTATTTAATGAAGGGCATTAATATTTTAATCATAACAGGTATAAATGATGCACCAATGTCAATTTACCAAGTACTAGTTGAAGTCAGAAAACATTAAAGTGTTTTCTAAAAGTCGTAATTTGTTCCCAAAAGGATTACTCACTCAAACAAAATCTGTAATCTACTGTTAACTACCTGAATTTTGCCGCTTGGGATATATCCTGAAGTGCATTTAGTTTAATATACAAAAAGACTAGTACTATAAAATATAAAATTTTGCTTTTAGATTCTGGACCTGACAAATGTTATGATTTCTTTCCCAATTAATACCTAAGTTCAAAGAACTCAAGTAAGAAGAAAGTTCATTAATAATAGGAAATATTTTATTTATATTTGTACAAATATGCAATTTTTCCTAAATTTTGGTTAATTATAAAATGGAGTCAATACTTAATAGCACAGATTCTGTCACAAATCTATTAAGTTCTGATGGCAAAATAAAATATGAAAGAAAGTTATTTGTTTAAACTATTAGCATCTCTTTTCCCCCTTATTCCCCAATGAGGTGGGAGCTCTTTAAATCAATAAATTAACTCCCCTAAATAGAAAAAAAGAAAACATAAAACTGTACTAACTCAGACCAATACTTACCAATTGAATCCTAATGAAAGGCAAGCTGTCAAATTCATATAAAAACTAAGCAAATGACATTACTGAGATGATATACATTATCCAGTAGCCTTAAATCCCAAAGACCTTTAAAAGATGTTTTCTGAACTGAATGATTTATAATTAACACCACTGAATATATTAATAATAGTTATTAATAATTAATTCTAAGCACCACAATTTATTTTCTTAAGGATCCAAATGTTTCCATCTTGTTTATGCTATCATTACTTGTTTAAGCTTTTTAACAGATACCTATGTATTCCACAGCAAATTCACATTAAGCTGGAAATTAGTCTTGTATCTCAGACTAGAGCACAAGCAGTTTGGAGAGGGTAAAAGAATTCCAAGCAGCTGAGGGGCGCCTGGGTGGCTCAGTTGGTTAAGCGGCTGCCTTCGGCTCAGGTCATGATCTCAGGGTCCTGGGATTGAGCCCCGCATCGGGCTCCCTGCTCAGCGGAAAGCCTGCTTCTCCCTTTCCCTCTGCCTGACACTCTGCCTACTTGTGCTCTCTAACTCTCTGTCAAATAAATAAATAAAATCTTTAAAATAAAATAAAATATCATAAGCTCTCAGTTATGGAATTGACCAAAAAAAACCCCAAAAAACAATCTTCTAAAAAAATCTATCAAATCCCAAATCACTAAAACAAAGATTTATCACATAGACAGTAAAAAATGAATAAATGTCTGGCGCAAATAAAAGCATGTCGGGAAAAAAAATAAACTTAAGGCATTCAACATTCCTAAGGTATAAGGACATTAATAAAACTGAGTGCCCTGAATCTGTATTATATGAATTATGCATTTACACCAGGGAATTCAGGATTTAGGCTAAGCTTACTAACACAGCAAGACAGCTATGCACTCCCTCCCCACAAATCTTAGTTTACCTCTTTAATTATTTGGGCTCCCTTTTTGTCACTGAATTCCAGTTGAGCCAAAGCCTGGTCAATGGACATTCCTCGTATCTAGAATTAAAGGGTAACAGACAAGAAAAGATAAACAAATTAGTTTACAAAGTCAACGTTCCCTTTGCAATGAAAAGTAAAAGCCTTACATAATACAAACAAGTTCTAAAAATAGTTAACTAGCTATATGTCAATTACATCTCAATTGACATATAATTATATCTCAATTGACATATAGCTAGCTAGTTAATATAACTGGGGGGGGCCGGATTTAAAAAAATTAAAAATAAAAATAGCTAACTAAATGCAGGCAGAGAAGAAGAAAACAAGTTTGAGAAGGGTGCCACCCTCTTTAAGTCAAAATCAAACTTAAATATTTTAACCATAAAACCTAGATTATAAATGTTGTAGTAATATTGAGAGAGCAGACATAACAGAAATTACAGGGTGGCGAGCACCACACTAGGAGTGAAAGGCATCTTCTTCTGCAGGATAAGTGTATTATATTTATCTGGGGCTTTGTCTTCTCTCATAGATAAGTTTCATTCTCCCAGGAAAATCTTATAAAGCAAGGGTTTTGAAATAGGTTGAATTAACTTTTAAGATAAATAAGCTTGCTTCCTGGATTCTTTCAGGGTATAGATTCCTGACGTCTTTGTTCTAAATATCTATGTATCCAACATGATTCAGTTTCTCAGAAGAAAAGTAAAAATTAAGCAAAATCACTCATCTCTGAGCAATCATTTGTGGATTACCTGTCAACTGTCTGAACATGTAATTATATTCCTCACTTTTTGGAGAAATCAGGACAAATTTTTTCGATTTTTCAAATCCTGGGGGAAAAGTCACAGCTTCTTAAGTATTATATGGTAATGTCATTTTAGCTTACCAATTTTGCCAAATACCACATCTTATCTTTGCTGTATTTTATTTGCCTTCGACAATGGTAGATTTCCTTACAAATGGGGGGAAAAAAAAGTTAGCAAATTTATCAAAATAACAATAACATACACTGTCAATAAAACTTTAACTTTTTATGCCTAATGAAAATGCTGCCACAAGAAGTAAAAATGCTACGTTGTATTTTCCAAAGTCTCACTATATTAAAAAGATCATTAAGGCAGTGATAGAAACTACAAAATGGCTACTTTGTGCCAAAATTTGCAACATTTCTATCCAGAGGAATAGTAAAAGATCTAAATGAAAACATTTAGCTGGATAAAAGAACAAAAGAAAAGGTACAAGAAAAAAAAGTTTCCTCTCAGTGGGGAAAATAAGAGAATATGGTGAAAGAGACAAAATAACTGGTTTCACAGGACATTCTAGGTGTTTGGTCAAGAGCACAGGTCCTAGATCAGACTGCCTGGGTCTGAATTCTAATTCTACCATCTACTAGCTACAGAACCCAAGCTCTTTAACCTCTCTGCCTAAGTTTCCTCTTTTTTGAAATGAAGATAATAGTACCAACCACATAAAAATATAGTAAGAATTAAAGAAAATAATCTATGTAAAGAAAGCATTTTGCAGTGCCTAGCACCTGGTAAGATCCTAGTAAATGTCAGTTTTTATTATCTTCTATTTAGAGTAGTAAGTATATCCCATTTAATTTTTTTAATCAATCATCGATTATACAATTTACAGTTGACAAAGTACATTCCAAGCCCATTATTTCATTTGATCTAACTCTATGAGTTGGGAGAGAAAACACTTTATGATCCTTTTACAGGGGCACCTGGGTGGCTCAGTTGGTTAAGCATCAGACTCTTGGTTTCAGCTCAGGTCATGATCTCAGGGTTGTGGGATGGAGCCCCGTGTTGTGCTCCACGCTTAGTGCAGAGTCTGAGATTCTCTCTCTTCCTGCCCCTCCCCGCCCCAGTCACTTCCTGCCCCTCCCCACCCCTGCCCCTTCCACGCCCCAGTCTCTCTCTCTCAAATAAATAAATACATCTTTAAAAAAAAAATCCTTTCGGGCGCCTGGGTGGCTCAGTTGGTTAAGCGACTGCCTTCAGCTCAGGTCGTGATCCTGGAGTCCC